GGGTTGTGCGCACTTTACAATTTGGGAAGCCCTGGAGCAGGCACTGTGGAGCTCGATTCCCTGTTTATAAACTCTTTTATTGAGAAATCTTGGCCCCATCATCCCAGGGACAACGAAAAAGACCCAAATCTGGTTGCATCATTTATTTACACATTTGATCTGCATTCGGTTTATATTCCTGTTGTAACAAATTACCATAAACTTTGCAGCTTAAAACAACACAGTCTTACAGTCCTGTAGATCAGATGTCCGGTGGGCCCCGCTGGTTTCCCTGTTGCAGGTCTCAAAGCCAAAATCCAGATACCAGCAGGGTTGGGCTTTGGGGGAGAAGCCACTTCCAGGCTCATTCAGGTTGTTGGTAGAATTTAGCTTCATGCCATTGTAGGACAGAGGCCCCATTTCCTCCCTTGCCATTGGCCCGGGGATCAAGCTCAGCTCCTAGAAGCACCCACATTTTCTGGCTTGTGGTCCCCTCCATCTTCAAAGGCAGCAACAGTGAGAAGAGTCTCTGTCACGCTTTGAATCTGTTCTGCCTCTTCTTCCACTGCATCTCTCTGACTCTTTTTTTAAAAATATTTTATTGATATTTTTACACAGAGGAAGGGAGAGGGATAGAGAGTTAGAAACATCGATGAGAGAGAAACATTGACCAGCTGCCTCCTGCACACCTCCTACTGGGGATGTGCCCACAACCAAGGTACATGCCCTTGACCGGAATCGAACCTGGGACCCTTCAGTCCGCAGGCCGATGCTCTATCCACTGAGCCAAACTGGTTAGGGCTCTCTGACTCTTAAAGGGCCCATGTGATTACATTGGCCCCACTTGGAAAACCTTCAGTCCATCTACAAAGCCCCTCTGCCATGTGACATAACATAGTCACAGGCTCCAGTGATTAGGATGTAGGAATCTTGGGGGGGGGGGGCAGTAGTTTGCTCCATCTCTGAAAAAAAAAGCATAAACTGTTCTCATTATTGTAACGACCTTCCTTTAAAAAGCCTTTTAACACTAAGAATGAAATTAAGTCCAATTCTACCCTGAAATCCTTATTCACTAGTTCTAGAAAAATTATTTTGAAAATAGGACTTGCCAAAACCGGTTTGGCTCAGTGGATGGAGCGTCGGCCTGCGGACTGAAGGGTCCCGGGTTCGATTCCGGTCAGGGGCATGTGCCTGGGTTGCGGGCACATCCCCAGTAGGAGATGTGCAAGAGGCAGCTGATCGATGTTTCTCTCTCATCGATGTTTCTGGCTCTCTATCCCTCTCTCTTCCTCTCTGTAAAAAATCAATAAAATATATTTTAAAAAAAAGAAAATAGGACTTTAAGTTCTTTAATCTGCTTTCTGTTTCTTCATCACATTTGTCACCAAATGTGTAGCTGTCTGTCTCCCCTTCTGGAAATGTGCTCAAGGGGCAGGTGCTGGGTCGCATTCCTCTTTTTGTTTCCAGTACCCAGCCTGGTGCCTGGCAGGCACACAGTTGGTGCTTAATTAATGCAGAAGAAATAAATACTCATTGTTAAATACTCAAAAATTGTTGATAAGCAGAGTTGGTGGTATTTATTCTTGAAGGGGCTTTTCCATTAATAATGTCAGTAAAATGTTTACAAATCCCTCATGTAACTCACAAGAACAGAGAGTAGAATGGTAGTTACCAGGAGCTGGGGGAGTTAAGGGGATATTTAAAGCTACAAACTTGTAACTAAAAGATGAATAACATCTGGAGATCTAATGCACAGCACAGTGACTATCAAAAATGCTGTATTATAAACTATAAAGTTGCTAAGGAACTAGATGTTAATTGTTCTTACCACAAACAATAAGTCATAGCTATTGAGTTGATAGAGGTGTTAGCTAACACTGCAGTGGTAATTATATTACAATATGTAAATTTATGAAATCAACACATTGTACACCTTAAATGTACCCGATGTTATATATCAACTAGGAGCCCAGCGCACAATTTGAAATCGTGCAGTGCCGCCCACCCTCACGTCCAGCTCTGCCTCCATCTCTGGCCCTTGAAGTAGCTGCGGCCGCTGCTGATCAGGCCTTCTCAGCACAGGTGTGCAGAGGCCCCTGCTGCCCCGCTCCCAACGCTGTGCGCACAACATCCTGTCCGGTTGACCCTTTACGGTGTCCCGGTTAATTAGCATATTTCTCTATTTTATATATAGATTATATTTCTATTTAAACTTGTGCAGTCACACGGCAAGGCAATGATAGGCAAGGCAATGATAGGCAAGGCAATGAATAGAGCTAGGATTTGGAACCAGGTAGTCTGTTGAGAAAGCCTGTGATGTTCACACCCACACATTGTGTACAGCCTTGAAAGATGAATAGGAATCGGCCAGGTAGGTGTTGTGAGCAGAGAAGTTGAGAGTATGACAGGGTGTTCCAGCTTCTAGAAGCAGCCTGAGCTAAAGATACGGGGTGTGCACCCCCGTGATGGGAATGCAGGTTTTGAGGAGGGGTGTGGTGACAGAGCAAGTTCCTGTTTTTTTCTGTGGGTAACGCTTGAGTGGAAATTCAAGAGTCTGCAAGTGCCGCTGGGAAGGAGGCCTTGCCCGTTGGAGGATAAGCCTGTGCCCACACTGACCCCTGCTCAGTTCTTGCTGCTCAGATCCAACAGGAAGGACTCCAGTGGCTGATAAATCATGTTGTGAAGCAGTTCTTTGTCTTCTGGGTCAACTTACACAACTAGTCCTGATTTCCCCAAAGCCACTCTGTGTGGATTTATCTAAGCTCTTCCTCTACCTAATCATGCTTTTGGCACCATCTCTTGGAATAAATTGTTTAACACCCCTGTTACCATGTTGCCCTTTTAGATTTGCCCTGAATTTGCTCCATGTGACCCTTCAGGGCTGTCTCTCAGTTTCTTACATTTCTGAGATCACTTGATCTTATTGGTGGACTGCAGGCATATTTCTTTGTACCCTGAGAAGATTTTTCAGTTTGCTTTAAAAAAGAAGTGTTTTCCTTTCTTTACTCATTTTAATGGTCCCTTTTGGGGCTTATATAAGTCTCCTTAGCTTCCTTGATATGAGATAGCAAGAACTTAAGTGTTCCAAGTGACGACAATGCATTGTGGTTTTGCAGAGGAAAGGATGACAGAGTAGGGGTTTGTCATTTTTATTGTTGTCTTAGAGGAGGAGCAGATGAAACTGGCTTTAGGGAACTTGTCTTGTGCCTGATAGTTTAGAGCAGGGGTGGGGAACCTTTTTTCTGCCAAGAGCCATCTGGATATTTATAACATCATTCGAGGGCCATACAAAATTATAAACTTAAAAATTAGCTGCTATATTTGGTCCAACATTTCATTAACTCACCCCTAATGCCTTGGCAGGGCCAGACCAAATGATTTCACGGGTCTTCTATGGCTCACGGGCCGGACGTTCCCCACCCCTGGTTTAGAGTATCTTTCCTGATGATTTTATCATCTTGTTCATTTTTCTTCAGTAAGATTCTACAGGCACTTAGAACTGAGGACTTAGAACCTGTCGTTTTATGAAGACGGTTTATTTTTTCCATAAATATATTTGCTTCCCAGAATGTTCATCTACCGCTTTTCCACTCAGTTGTGTGGCATTTTGAACTTTCTCTAGAGTTGTCATTGAGCTAGCGATTAATTACCTGAATGAATGATTGTTATTCAAGTGGAGATATTTCTGTACCCTCTTTCTTCCACACGAGTTATAAAAATGTGAAATAAAGTTAGTCTCTGTAATTTCTCATTTTACTTCCTCATCCACAGTAGGGCCCATTTAACTAAGTTGTTTTCATACAGGGTGGGGCAAAAGCAGGTTTACAGTTGTTCGTATGCAAAATAATAGAATAATTAATAAATAATAATAATACAAGAATAAACTGTGTTTCACATAGGAACAACTGTAAACCTACTTTTGCCCTACCCTGTATTTGTCATTAAACATTCCTCAAATACCACAGGGACTTCATTTTTAAAAATAATCTTCGCCATTGGAAACTTTAGGAATTTAAGTAGTGCATGCTAATGTCCCTCCATCTACTTGCCTATGTGCTTAGCTTCTCAGAGGTCTCCAAGTAGTCCTATAACCTGTATTTCTATTGCAGGTGGAGTTTACACCTACTGTGATTTAGAGCTACTTGTAATTGTGGCTCAACTTTTATTTGCTTATTGTCTCTCAGTTTCCTCTCCATATAACATTCAAGGGGGTGATGTTAAAAATGGCTGAGCTTCCCCAAGCAATCTGTACTCTCAGAGCTTGTCATCCAGCAACGTAGTACCCACCACTGTCCTCAAAGTGATGTAGCTAGTCCACTTTTAGTAGTAATTGTGCACAGATTTTTTAAACCAGAATTGAATGTTTGATTTTGCTAGTTATTTTGAAAATTAAATGATGGAGATGTTTTGAGTTGAAAAGGCATGAAAGGAGTAGTAAAGGAACTTACTACTTGAAGGTAGATAAGAGAACAGAGATGCTAGTTCTGGCTCTATTTCCCCTGCCCACTACGCCCACCTTCCTAAAGCTGGTAGGACAACAAGTTACTGCACCACCTGGAACACAGTGCACGTGCCTGGGTCAGGACCACCAAGAGCTAGTTTATCAGGAAACTCAACCAAGCACAGTTTTCCCAGACCAGCTTTGGAGGACCTGGAAAGTTGGTTTTACAGAAGCTCTCTTTAATATTCTCTATAAATCAATTTTGGCCTGTTAGGATCTAGACTACTTTAGGGTAATTACTAGTAATCTTCTGAAAGACAATTCTGGGAAAATTACAATAATACCAAAAGATCTACTCACAGACATAAGCAAGTTGTTTCATTTGGGGGATTGATTTGCCTGCCTTTGGAATTATTCAATTTAAAAAAATGTACTTCCCAATATAACTTTGATGCTTTGATGATACAGGATGTTTGATTCTGAGCTCAAAATAATTAAAAATTATGGTTAAAATAAAGCTTTTCCCCCTTATTTCAATCCACTTATACAACTAAGCATCTGTCTTACTGTTTTTTCCTAGGATGGTCCAGATTCTGCTGGAGGAAACCGGACAAAGCAGGAGAGTGCATGGCTGTTCAGGCTGTGGTACAGCTTTGACCACAAGTATCCTTTGAAGTAGTTTCCCTGAAACAGTGATGATGACATCGTCCTGTTGAGTTGCCAGTAAATGACTTCTGATAAGTAAGGAAGGATGTGTACAGTGTAGTCAGTTCTCGCTTGGGACTCATGCAGTGATCATTCAACCACAGGTAGTCCTGGTGAGCATCTCTTTGGGTAGACGCATGTGGTTCTGCAGAGCTTTGTATACAAGGGGAATGTGGCTTTGTAGGTGAATTGGTGTGGTCAGGAAGTGAAGTGGAGCATATTATTCACTGGGCTTAGTATTTGGTAATTAAATATGATAAAAATAACTTTGCTACTCGTGACTTACATTTTTGCTTTTTTATTTTTTAAATTTATCTTTATTGTTGAAAGTATTACCCATGTCCCCCTTTTTGTTATTTTTCCCCATTGACCCCCTCCTCCTTGCACCCACCCCTCCCAAGCTTTGGCCACACTATTGTCTGTGTCCATGGGTCATGCATGTATGCATGTAAGTTTCCCAGTTAATCTCTCCCTCCCACCCCCATCCCCACTTTTCCTCTTAGATTCATCAGTCTGTTCATGGTTCTGTGACTCTGGATCTATTTTGTTCATCACTTTATTTTGTTTATTAGATTCCACATATGAGTGAGATTCTGTGATACATTTTCACTTTTAAAAAGACTCTTTTGATGAACAAGGTCTTTGTCCAATTCATTGATTTTTTTTCTGTTCTGGTCAGTACTCTTTGTGTCCTGTTTTAGAAATCTCTGTCTATCTCAAAGTCTTGAAGCTAATTTCCTGTGTTATCTTTTAGAAGCTTTATATTTTTTCTCCTGTGCGCCTTTTTTTTTTCTCAGTGACAGATATGGGAACTGAAAAAGTATACAGATAATTTGAAGTGCTCTAGATGAGGTTATCATTCTTCTGAGATAATTTAATTTATATTGGGTCTAGGTTAGGGGCATTATTAATTCCAGATCACTTTAGTGCAATCAGAAATAAAGGTGATTTGAAACTAGGCTGCAGTTCCTGTGAAGGTTAGTCTGTTTTCTGTCTACCCTTTGTTCTAGGGCAGTGGTTGGCAAACTGTGGCTCGGCAAACCACGGCTCGGCAAAACTTTGGCCCCTTGAGTGTGGCTCTTCCACAAAATACAGACTTCTGCACATGGGCCATGAAGTTTCAATCGCATTGTACATGCGCGCCCGCATGTGGTATTTTGTGGAAGAGCCACACTCAAGGGGCCAAAGAGCCCCATGTGGCTCGCGAGCTGTGGTTTGCCGACCACGGTTCTAGGGTTCCAACCTAGAGCCTAGGGTGTTTACGGAGTCTTCCTCAGAAGGCCCTGGACACCAGTTTTTGTCAGATTCACTATTTTTTTTTCAGTATGCCAGATGCTCTGCTCAGCTGCTGAGATGCTTTAGGGAAAACATGGCTCACCAAGCGCCAGGCTCCCCACTTGGGTGTCCTCCTCCAGATTCTGACTGTCTTCACTGCCCTGGTAGCTTTCTGGTGCCATTAAGCAGAAGATTTTGTTGTGTTTTATCTTGACCTAGCTTTTCTAGTCATTCTTAGTGGAAAGGATGGTTTAAATTATTGTTTACTATTGTCTGCTATTAACTGAAATAGAACCCCCAGAGGTTTTTTAAAGCCATATGAACTTCGTCTACATTGTAATTCAGAAGGCATGTTACTCACTGGGCTTAGAAAGGATGTAGAGGAAACTGGAGGGAGTTCACAGGAGAGTGACAAAATACTAAAGTGATAAGAAATTGATTCTTGTCAGCACTTAGTACTCCACTTTCAACAATGGATAGATTATCCAGATGGAAAATCAGTAAGGAAACATTGGACTTGAACTACATTTTAGATCAAATGAACCTAACAGACATGCACAGAACATTCCATCTAACAGCAACAAAATGTACATTCTTCTCAAGTGCACATGGAACATTCTCCAGGATAGAGCTGTGTGTAAGATCACAAAACAAGTCCTAGAAAATTTAAGAAGGTTGAAATTAAAGCAAGTATCTTTTCCAACCACAATGGTATGAAAATAGAAATCAATAACAGCAGGAAAACTGGAAACTTTACAAATATGTGTACATTAAACAACACACTCCTGAACGAACAACCAGTGGGCACACATTAAACAGTACACTCCCCAATAACCAATGGGCCAATGAAGAAATCTGAAGGGAAATAAGAAATATATCTTGAGACAAATGAAAATGAAAAACAACATAACAAAACTTATGTGATTTAGCAAAAGCAGTTTTAAGAAGAGACAAAAAGTTTATAGTATTAAATGCCTACATTAAAAAAAGAAAGATCTTGCCCAGCCAGCGTGGCTCAGTGGGTGAGTGTCCACCTATGAGCCAGGAGGTCATGCCCGGGTTGTAGGCTGGATCTCCAGTGTGGGGCGTGCAGGATGCAGCCGATCAGTGATTCTCTCTCATCATTGATGTTTCTCTCTCTCTCCCTCTCCCTTCTCTGAAATCCATAAAAGTATATTTTTAAAAAAAGATCTTGCCCTGGCCAGTGTGGAGGGTCTTGCCTTCAGTTTGTAAAACAAACAAACTAACAAACAAACAAAAACACAACATCTGTGAGGTGCAATAAAGAGAAACGCAATAAAACCAGGTATGGCTACATTTTCTGTATTGTACTGGTAAAATGGGGGAAAGACATTTTCTAGGTAGAATGTCAGATGATTTACTTGTTGGGATTTCTAAACACACTTTGTTGGGGTTTTTTTTGCAGACATTGTTTCCTTAATTCTCTTTTTAAAGTTACTTGAAGCCCATCCTCACACACAGTGGCCCCCCATTAACCACCACGCTCCCATCCTGGTGTGGCTTGCTCGCTCGATGTCTGACCAGTCCCCAGGTGTATGACGTAAGTACAGCATGTCGGGGCGGCATTTCTATGCAGCCTCCAAATTCACAGAAATTGCTTCTCCAGTAAGATGCTTGATTACAAATGACCAGCTTACTATGCTTAATGCATTGTGCACAGCAACAGAGAAACCTTTTACTAGGCTTATGGGGTTCCCAAATATCAGCAGCTATGACGTAGTAGAAAGATTCCTCTCTGTCCCTCTGAGGCTCCAAACTTTAAAAGAATGAACTACGTGCCGAGGAATCTCCCCCTGAAATCTGGGTGCTAAGAGCCCTGGGAGAGGTATTTTGACAGAAATGAACAAAAACAATATTTAGCACATGCATTAATGGGAGAAATGGAACATACTAAAACAGGGAACGTGATGTCATTTGTTGTTAATAAAACTATCACCAGGCCCTAACCGGTTTGGCTCAGTGGATAGAGCATCGGCCTGGGGACTGAAGGGTCCCAGGTTCGATTCCGGTCAAGGGCATGTACCTTGGTTGTGGGCACATCCCCAGTGGGAGATGCACAGGAGGCAGCTGATCGATGTTTCTCTATCATCGATGTTTCTAACTCTCTATCCCTCTCCCTTCCTCTCTGTAAAAAATCAATAAAATATATATTTAAAAAAAAAAACTATCACCAGGCAGACAGAGTTTCAGGACTTTCTAAATAGTGATGGAGAGGAGGAAACGGGGAGTTCGGAGCGAGTTTTAGAATTCCTCTCTGCCCGACTAGAGGACTCTTATTTGATTATACATTTGCATCCTGCCTGATTCCAGTGAAGATTTGAGGCAGCAAGCAAGAGGAGTTGCGTGCTCGCCTGTTAAGCTGCAGCATTGGTTAAATGGAGTCACATTGTGGAGTTTGGAGAAGTCGACATTGAGAAACAATGCAGAAAGCATGGGTGTGTTTGTCACCAGTAAGGGCACAGAGATGGGCTGGGACTACAGAAGTGAGGTAGGCAGAACCCAGGAGTCCTCCCTAGGCCAGTGCACTTAACAGGCATTCCTCTAGCACCTACTGAGTTAAGCACTTCAAGGAAGGGCGCCGACAAGAGGAGAAGAAGGTCACTGCCCTTTGGTGATTCACCCAGATGGGGAGTCCAGGCATGGGCACGGGAGAATCTGCCTGTGGCCTTGGGCAGCATGACTGAGCGGGGACCATGGACTATCAGGGCAGGTTCAGGTCCTGCAATGAGGACACCCTGTGTGTAGAGGACAGGATATAGGACTTCAGATGTGCTTTGAAGGGTAGATAGGAAATAGGAGAGAAAGAGCAGTTTTCAAACTGTGTTTGCTATTCAAGAAGGAAGTCCAGATCTAGCCGGTTTGGCTCAGTGGCTATAGGGTCAGCCTGCAGATAGAAGGGTCTCAGGTTCGATTCCGGTCAAGGGCACATGCCTGGGTTATAGGCTCAGTCCCCAGCCCTGGTCAGGGTATGTGTGGGAGGCAACCAATTGATGTGTCTCTCTCACATCAGTTTCTCTCTCCCCCTCTCCCTTTCACTCTCTCTAAACAATCAATGGAGAAATATCCTCAGGTGAGGATTAACAAAACAAAACAAAAAAGGAAGTCCACAGTGTTTGACAGCCATTGAAATAGGGGAGTGGGGGAGCACCCCACCCTTGTTTTGCTTGTTGAACCCGTTGGAGAATGAAAGGTTGTGTCTGACGTCACGCTGCTTCCTGACACTCTCTCTCTGCCATCTTTTAGTTTCAAGTGGCTGCCGCTTGGCTGACGCCTGCCTTGTTCAGCCTAGTCTTTTTTGCTACAACTGCTGCTTATTATGAGATGCTGTCACAGTCCTCTTCCCAATGGGGTCACTTTTCATATCGTTTAGGTGGGCAGAACCAGTCTGGAGGTAGCATAAATCCAAACCTTCCTACCAGCTGGACAACCTTGGGCAAATTTCATAGGTTCTCTTAGCTCAGAGCTTCTGCTCTGTGACATGTGCTTGCACCCTTCACAGGAGAAGGGTAAGGACCAAATGAGAGCTTATGTGACATTCCTGGCAGGCATATAATAGATTGGTGATGGCGAACCTTTTGAGCTTGGCGTGTCAGCATTTTGAAAAACCCTAACTTAACTCTGGTGCCGTGTCACATATAGAAATTTTTTGATATTTGCAACCATAGTAAAACAAAGACTTATATTTTTTATATTTATTTTATATATTTAAATGCTATTTAACAAAGAAAAATCAACCAAAAAAATGAGTTCGCGTGTCACCTCTGACACGCGTGTCATAGGTTCACCATCACTGTAATAGACCGAGCATGTCAGACTTAAAGGCTAACACAGGCCAAATAAACAAGGTATAAGTGTATGTGGGCCACAAAAAAAGAAAAGCTTCAATTTTCATAGAAATGTGGGTTTATTTCGATAGAGACTTGCTGAATACAAAGGGCTGAAATAAATGAGTTATCATTAACATAAAATAATAGAACATTTTAATAAAAATTAGTATTTTTTCTTGAACATTCTTACCAGACACTGAATAGCTGCACAAATTAATAAGCATAATGCAAATAAACCTATTTTTCTTGTTCTCCGAAAGTGAAATATTTCCTGTTGTGCACACCAAACAGGTCAGTACGTGGCCATCGGCTGCTAAAATATTCACTGCTAGTATCAGTGGAGAGAAATGGTGCGCCTGCGTGTAAGGCGCATAAGGGAAATGAATGCAACACGATTATAGTCATCAGTCATTAGCGAATGTTGTAGTTCATTATTAATAACAAGATATTATAAAAATTAAGTTATGAATTTTTTACTAAAACACTTCTTACATACCATTATATTGGCTGGGCCGCAAAAATATTCGTTATGGGCTGCGAGTTTGACGTGCTTGGGCACTCAAGAAAATATACCTTCCCTCTGTATCACTTGCTTCATCTATATGAGGACTTCCCATCAGGGATTTTGTGTGGCGACAGGAAGGAAATCCTAATAATGGTTTGTCCTCTTCCCTCCATGCTGACGAGGGTAAAGAGTAGTTCAAATGTAAACTAGGTATGTGTAGAATGGTTTGTGTAGGGCAGGAGGCCCACCCAGAAGACCTTCCCAGAGGAGAGAGGACCTGAAACCTATTTGCAGGTCTTCCCAGTGACCTTAGCCCTTCCTTTCTTTGTGGGTTGGGAAGCTGAAAATCCAGGTTGGTTTCCTTTTCTTCCGTTTTGTCACAAACTGTCAGGCATTTAAAATCACAGCTGCTTTTTGCCATTCCAAGTCCTAACTCGGGCAGCAGTGCTATACATTGAACAGCACGCTAGAGTTTACATCCAGTTATCATGCTGGAGGCTCAATGCAGGCAAGTTTCATGATCCCCAGTTTCAGATGAGGAGTTGAGATTGGGGTTGGCTAGAGCTCTGGGAGATTCCAGTCTTTGATTTGTTGTTAATTGTTATTTGTTGCACTTTTCAGAACCAAGAGCCACTGAGAGAGGAAGACTCTGATTTCATCCTGACTGAGGGTGACCTCACCTTGACCTACGGGGACAGCACAGTGACTGCCAATGGCTCCTCAGGCTCCCACACGGCCTCCATGAGCCTGGAGGGCAGTCGGAAAACAAAGAGCAGTTCTGAGGAGGTGCTGGAACGAGACCTGGGAATGGGAGACCAGAAGGTTTCAAGCCGGGGCACCCGCCTAGTGTTCCCCCTGGAGGATAATGCATGACTTTCCCCCCAAACCCTGAAGCGATGGGGTAGACCCACCGGTGGTGTGGGGCTGGCTGCATGCTCCAGTGTTGATTGAGGTGGGACAGTGACTGAATGGAACTAACGCTTCTATTGTATTGAGGTCTGAAGATACCTTAACATTTAAAATTTAACCCAAGATACAGATGGTGGGGCTCAAGACAAATGCAGATCTATTCCCACTTTTTCACTTAGTAGTGCACTGTTCAGAGTTAAACAAACAAAAACAATCGCATGCTTTACTGGTCTCTAATTCATTCACCTGTGGTACCTGAACAAGGTGTGGTGGGTGCCGGGGACCCCTCCCAGGAGAGGCTTTGTATCCATACACAGCAGTGCGAGTCTAGCTGGATGTAGGAATATCAAGTGAAGGGAGAACAGGCTAGAAGAAAGATGGCGAAGGAAGGCCAGTGAGATTGGACCTCCAAGGATGAGGGGAAGCTGGTGTTAAATGGGACAGAAAGCATGAAAAAGCAATTTGAGTGGAGGCTCCAGCAACAAGAGATGATGACAGCAGCCTCATTTCTGGATTCCTGACTTCTTTTGCTGCCTGTATTTTCTCTAGACTGAAGATTGGAAAATATATCCATCAACATTTCAACATGGGGGAAAGAACTGGAAATCTCCACAAAGAAGTTGTTACTGGAATGTTTCAAACCAAAGGCAAAATAGTGTTCAAGTGCTGTGTTTTTTTTTGTTTTTTGTTTTGTTTTTTTTTTTTTTTTCATTAATGTGAAGGCAGGAGAAACTGTTTAGAAACTGATGATTACATCACTGTAAACATCAGTCAGTTCTTGATGGCTGCCATATGAGCTGACTGCCTGGAAAATAGTTAACAGGACTGACATATCTACTGTGGGTTTAGAAAGAACACCAAAATTTGTGGAGTGCTTTGATCTGGTGACGAGAAGGCAGTAACAACCCTCAGAGGCAATACGCTAGTATTCAGAGGGAAGAAATCTCACTGTGAAAAAAATCACTGAAAAGAAAACACAAGATTGTATTCTAAAGACTTAGTAGAATTCCAAACTTTGAGCTAAGAAATGAATGAGATTTCAGTGGTCACCTGAAGAAACAGAGGCGAGGCAGTGGAATGTTAAGCTTTATTTATACAGTGGAAAGTTCCTGTCCACTCTCAGATTAAGAATCGAGGTGTCTTGGCACTGAGTGCCATGTAGAGAAAGGTCATTTTCGTGGTGTCTGGGGAGGTCTGCACCAGCTTCATGTGTGAGTGTGGTCTGAGATTTAGATTTCTACTTTGGGTTCTTTCGTGGGTGAGCTGTTCTACCTGCCCACGCCTGTAGTAAGAGAACTCTTGGAAGCCAAGTTTGAGATTCTCCCTGTGCTCTATGCTTCAGTGCTATTATTTTCAAAAACCCAATTTCTAAAAAATGCTTTCACTTAATGTGGCCATTTCCCTTATAAGGTAGTGGCTCAATCTAGTGCACCCATCATGAAATCAGCCATTTAACCTTCTTAACTCGCATTTTTAATGGTTAATTTTTAAGTAAGACATTGTTTTGCCCTCTTTTTCACTTGATAATTTGTGCAAACCAAGAAAAATTTATTAGTTTGAGCCATATGAAATTGCTGATATTCAACCACTTTTTTAAAGAAACAAAAATGACAATTTCATATGGTTCAGTATAAGAGAATTGGGTGATTTTTATTCCCCTTTCCCTTCTATCTACACTAAAGGACATTTTGATTTGATGGTCATCCATGGACTGTAAGTTTGGGGAAAAAGCTAAACATACTTACCTCATGCTTCCACTATGCTGAAAAGTAAAAAGTGGGTGCGGAGAAACTAACCCAAGGCTAACTATTTGCTGCCAGTCTGGCATAAACCAGATAGAAACTGCTGAGTAATGGTACATCCAAGTAAGCAAAATTCTTCTGAGAGGATAATCCCAAGTCATTTTATACGCATATTTGTTCTGGGTAGGGTCGGGGCGGGGGGGGTTACAGTTCAGCAAAGTTGGATGTTCTAGGGCAGAGGTTCTTCACCCTGGCTGCACATTAGGATGAGCTGACCCATTTATTGAGAATATCGACATAAAGGCCCACCCTCAGAGATCCAGATTCAGTAGGTTTAGAGTGCGTCCAGGCTTCTGGGCCATGTTTGGATCCTCAGGGATTCTAATCTGCAGCTCGGGTGGAGAGCCTTTAGTCTAGAACTTGAAGTGGGCCCAACTTGAAACCTTAAAGGATGACCTAGCAAATTCAGGTGTGTGTTTTTTAATTGTTAGTCATGTGGAACAAACTGAGTGTTGATCAATAATACAGACCATATAGCTGTTGAGTGAATTTCGTGCTAATAATGTTTCTAGAAGTCAAACACATACTCCATAAATACAACTAAAACAAAAAAAAGGTCACATTAGAAAACCTTAGAGCATGAAAGGGGGAGGATGACTTGAATGTATATATTGGAGGGATTAAAACCTGTCATTTTTGCTCCGATTTGTGGGGAAAGGGGGGTTTTGTCTTAACTGAGCTGCTGACTAATCAAATGTGAAGGTTTCTAACAAGCTGTCTTTTCCATTTAACCTGGGATTAAATTAATAGTCCCCTTTGCAGTCAAGTGAACTTTTTTTCTCTTCACACTTCACTCGTCTCCATGCCTGAATCCACACTGGACTCCTTAAAATAAGGGGGAGGGCTGTCCATTGCCAGAGCACAGGCCCCTTATTAAGTGGAAGGTTGTGATCACTTCACTGTCATGTGGTGGTGGTGTTGGGAGCTGGTAGTTAAGGAGATGCAAACTTTTGTGGATAGCACTGGCAGAGGGAAGATAGAAACTCCTGACATTCCTTTTAATATTCTTTTCCTAGAGAGGAAATTTAGGATATAAATAAGTCTGCATTTCTTCCTAGGAAGCAAGTATAGGAAAGGCGTATGTAATTAAATGACACTGACCGACACTGACCATCAGTGATACTTATTGGGCTGACCAGACAAATAAGCATTGATGCCTTGCGACATCAAATGTTTCATCAACCAAACGGCAAGAGCTCTTTAGGCTGTGATCCCTAGACCTGAAAACGCCCTCTGTGGTTTGGTTGAAAAAACAAATTTTAGAAAACACCAAAAATGTTATCTTCACTATCCATGAACATTTCAGACTAGAGCAAAGAAGTGACCGTTCCTTCCAAAATAGAGGTCTGTGGCACGTCCTTCCTTCACCCCTCATCATATCCCTCCCTTTTTCTGTCCATAGTAGAAGTTAATGTAATCATGTTGGATATTTGATGTGAACAGTGACTTAAATGTAGAAACACCACTGATGTCCTTAGAGATCAGTGCCAGGGCAATTGAGCCATTCATCAGAGGGGAATCATCTGCTTGGAAACCTACCTTGGTACCCATTGGGACTTCTAAGGGGTGTATCAGAAAACTAATTTTACCATCTCTTGTCAAATGTATTCTGGAATGAGGGTTGCTGTTTCAATGAATGACTTCTTATTCCACTTCAGGAATAGGGAACTTGACAAGTTTCATGTTTGCCTTTGATGTTGATTCTGCAGATGAGTTAGTACTGTAGGAGCTAATCTGTCCGAAACTTTAGACTGGTGTCATTGAGTTCTGATCTCTTCTGTCGTTTTCTAAGTGGGGATCTGGCTGGCCAGTGTCATTTGCTATGTCCTCACACAGCAAGTTGAAGAATCCAGTGGGCAAGAGTTAGAATTTAGAAACAACCCATCTGAATGCTGCTTTCACCACTTTGATACCTGAAAAGACCTTCCCCCTTTCTAAAACCTACTAAGAACAATATACAGACAAATACCATAGAAACCAATGTGAGGATCTGACTAGGAAAAGCAAGTAGGATTTTTGACAGTCCTTTCAAAACAAGATTTAGAAGAAACCATATTTTCCAGTTTCAATTTTCATAAGTAGAGTTTTTTAAAAAATTAACAAACACATCTTGTCTTGTCACCCAGTGCTAGGAGAAATTGTAAAGAGCAAAGCCAAAGTTTTTGATGTAAATTTTATTTTTGTAAGCAGGGTATACGATAACCATGGTCCACATGGAACACATAGGCACCGGTTTTCTGCTACTTGAGCCTTGGAGAAGATGAGAAGGAAGGTCTTCCTGTTCTGCTGCCTTTTGAAAAGGTCTGAAATAGACATGAGAGCACTTGGGAGAGGCCATCCTTTTCTTCTGATGGCCACCTTTTAAAAAGGGTTAACGGGATGTCATCATCACCTCCATTCTTGGCCAGTGGAGAATGATTTGGGCCTGTGTGTGCTGGAGGAGCTCAGAAGAAAAAGGACATGGAAATAGCTTGAATAACTCTACATCTCTGTCAAAAGCACTTAAAAACAGTTAAGATCCAGTGTTACTGGGTGACCATCCAACTGCATGGACATTTGGGGGTTGACTTTTGTTGTGATTATTCCAGCTATGGGCTTTGGAGAAGCAGAAGAATGATTTTCGGTTGTGTGGGTATTACGTCACTCTATGGATTTGGAATGTATCACTGCACTCACTCATTCAAAGTATGATTTCATAGTAGTGTCACCTACTCCTAGGTTTTCTTTTTTACATAAAATACATCTGGTCTTCTTACTTAGAAGTTTTTGTTCATTAAATTTATTCAATGCGAAGGCCACCAATATTCATTTAATAGCTACAAAGCAATTTTTTAAATAGAATAGGATAAATTTAACATGGACGATGTGACCTTCTGGAGAACTTTTTATAGAAAGCTTAAATACTGTAGTTGGGGAGAATTTTGTCTTCTATTTCCATTCAACTGTGGCAAACTGGTGGTTTTATAAAATTAACGTTATGTAACAGTACGTTATATAAACATGTTATACAAAATAATATTAAAATGTTTAACTGTGAAAAAGTGAAGACTTGGAGTTATCAGCAACCTTTATGTGCAATAAAGAAAACTGAAGTTAGACCCCAAAGTGCTGTCTTTCTGTAGCATCCTACTTAATGTTTGCCTTTGTGTATATGTTTAGATTGATATTGTAAAGCTAGTCACATGTTTCCTGCTTTTGCTGATATTTAACACATTTTTCTCAAAGCTCTTTCTGTATTTTTTTTTTACAAAACTCAAAATAAAAAGATTAACTGGCTGAACTGATCTTGTTTTGTCTTTTAAAAGTATTGTCTGTTAGTAGAAGTGTAATATGATCCTATTCTTCACTGAGAGGTTCTTTTCTAGGTGGAAGCGATTCCTCTCCAGCTTCATTTACTAGTAGACCAGGAGTTGACAAATTACAGCCGGCACCTGGATCCGGACTGGCCCACTGCCTGTTTTGTAAATAAAGTTTTGTTGGCATACACTATGCTCATTCATTTGCATGTTGTCTGTGACTGCTTTCATGCAGAACTGAGAAGTTATGACAGAAGTGAGCAACTATTTGCTTATAAAGCAGGAACCCTTTACTGTCTGACTCTTCACAGAAAATATTTTTGCCAACCCAATTTAGATGCTTGAAAAACTTTAGTTTTAAAATAGGGTCTAAAAACCATGGCAACATGTGCCTTAGGATTAAAAGAACCACTTTAAACTCATCTCTGCCTGTGACTTTTCCTGGCCTGAAACTCTCTTTAGTAGGCTTTGAATGTTGGATAATTGCTAAGAATCTTGAACCCAACATGCAGTTTATTTTATAGTCTTCATATTCCTTTGTAGACTAGCTTTCCCCAGAATCAAACTACATCATAAAATCTGAAGCTTCCTACTAAAACAAAACAAAAAATCCTGTCATTAGCATGACTCAGTCATTTAATAGTATGATTACAAAACACCAAATGGAACAATTTAAAAGCAAAAAATTGTTCCAGTTCATTTCTCTCCCACCCTACAGAGAGAAATTACTTTTTAAAAATCAGTTCAGGGGTGGTGGCAAGGGGAGCTGTTTGAAGAAGGGTTGGATGAGTCAGGTTTAAAACAATATCATCTAGACCTTTTATTTAATAGTGCGTAATTTAATCAAGATACACAGGACCGCGCTTGGCCCTTATTCACATTAATGTTTTGTCCAGACACCTGATGATGGGAAATGGTACCAATCGCATCTCTTCTTTGTTGTGAGGACGCCTTGTTGAAATGGCTCCAGCCGAGGCAGGTTCGGGCTGGGAACTAAAGCTCTTCCTATTTTATTGCCATGATTATCCACATTGCACTTCCTTACTGGAAACTTTGTTTCAACCAATATGTCCGTCATTATTTAATATGCTCAGGATATTCCTGCTCTCCAGAATTGCACAGCAGTTGGTACCAAATCAAGTCCCAGTCTCTGACAGCGTGATAGATTGCCTCCACAGCATGGCTTCTCCAGTTCTGGGGCAACATGCTGAGTGCCCCGTTCATGATGCCTGACCTGGAAGGAAAGGAACAAAGGATGTTTGAACTTCAGAACACCAAAATTCACAAACAGCCTGTTGAATCCTGATGATATAGGGCCTCTTAAATATTAAACCTTTAATCTTCCTTATCTAAGCTGCATTATTCAATGCTACAAATCCATACCGAACCAGTATCTATCATTTCTGCTTTGTAAAGACAATCCAGGAATAAGTGTGACCCAAGAGGGGTTAGATGAGAATAAAGACAGGAAAAAGATGGGGGTACCTCTGTCAGAGTGACTGTGCTTTCTGCAGCTGCTGCTGTGGGGTGCCTTTAAGGAAAATAGAGCTTTCTGAGACCTGCTAGGTAGAGTGGGGGAAGGAGGTGGGATTGAAGCTATACCTGTAGCCCCCAAGTAGACTAAAAAAACTGTCATCAAATTTCCTACCATTTTCAATATTTTTGTTGTGGTTAAAATATAAACATATCCATTAATTCTTTTTTTAATCTTTATTGTTAAGAATATTACAGATGTCCCTCTCCCCTCGCCAGCCCCCATTGTCTCCCTCCACCCAGTTCCCACCCCACCCCAGGCCTTCACCACCCTATTGTCTGTGTCCATAGGTAATGCATATCTACACTAATAAAAGAGAAATATGCAAATTGACTGTACCTTCATGATGCCCACCAGTCAATCGGGAGTGAGCATGCAAATTAACCAAACAAAGATGGTGGGTTAATTTGCATATGCAGGCACCAAGAGGCCAGGGGTGGGACGCTGGCGCCAGGGCGACGATGCCAGCATCCCACGCCCAGGCCGTGGGGGAAGGGAGGGATGCAGACACAACATGGGGCTGCTAGGCTGGGGGCATGCTTCCAGCCCAGCGGACACAACGTGAGGCTGCTGGGCTGGAGGTGTGCCCCCGTGGTGGCTTCCTTTGCACAGCAGTGGCGACGAAGCCCCCATACCCGGCAGACAGAGAGCGGACAGCAGGGTGTGGCGGCTCCATTCACGCGGCAGTGGTGGCAAAGCCCCCAGGCCCGGCAGAAAGAGACAGAGAGCAGACAGCAGGGCATGGGGGCTTCATTGCCACAACGGCGGTGAAGCCCCCATGCCCAGCAGACAGAAAGCAGACAGCAGGGCGTGGCGGCTTCCTTGGTGTGGAGGCACCAGTGAAGCCCCCAGGCCAGGCTGACAGAGAGCTGACAGCAGGGTGTGGCTGCTTCCTTAGTGCGGCAGCAGCAATGAAGACCTCATGCCCAGCAGACAGACAGCAGACAGCAGGGTGTGGCGGCTTCCTTCACACGGTGGTGGCAAAGCCCCCAGGCCCAGCAGACAGAGAGCTGACAGCAGGGCATGGGGGCTTCATTGCCAAGGTGGCGGCAAAGCTCCCAGGCCCGGCAGACAGAGACAGAGAGTGGACAGCAGGGCATGGCAGCTCTGTTTGCGTGGTGGCGGTGGCGAAGCCCCCAGGCCCCACAGACAGAGGACAGCGGGGTGAAGCAGCCAGGCCTCACAGAGAGCAGAGAACCATGGGGAGTGGGCCTAAGGCGTCAGTAGGAATCCCCTGATGACTCATGGATTGGAGAGGGTGCAGGTTGGGCTGAGGGATTCCCCCACCCCCGTGCACGAATTTTGTGCACCGGGCCTCTAGTCTATAATAATAAAAGTATAATATGCTAATTAGATCAGATGTCCTTCTGGGCGACCTTCCAGACGAAGCTGGGGCTGTGAGGGAAGCCCAGATCCCGGGTGCTGGAGGGAAGCCGGTGCCGGCAGCTGGGGGAAGGAAGGCCTACTCTTGCACAAATTTCGTGCATCGGGCCTCTAGTATACATATAAGATCTTTGTTTAATCTCTTCCCCTGCCCATCCCTCTTCTAAGAATCATCAGTCTGTTCCATTTCCATGCCTCTGATTCTATTTTATTCACCAGTTTATTCTGTTCATTAGATTTCATATTAGTTTATTTTGATTTTTAGATTCAATTTTTGATAGGTATGTATTTGTTGCCATTTTGTTGTTCATATTTTGATCTTTTTCTTCTTCTTCCTCTTCTTAAAGAAAACCTTTCAACACTTCACGTAATACTGGTTTGGTGGTGATGAACTCCTTTAACTTTTTCTTATCTGTGAAGCTCTTTATCTGACCTTCAATTCTGAATGATAGCTTTGCTGGGTAGAGTAATCTTGGTTGTAGGTTCTTGGTATTCATCACTTTGAATATTTCTTGCCACTCCCTTCTGGCCTGCATGGTTTCTGTTGAGAAATCAGCTGACAGTTGTATGGGTGCTCCCTTGTAGGTAACTAACTGCTTTTCTCTTGCTGCTTTTAAGATTCTCTCTTTGTCTTTAGCCCTTGGCATTTTAATTATGATGTGTCTTGGTGTGGTCCTCTTTGGGTTCCTCTTGTTTGAGACTCTCTGCACTTCCTGGACTTGTAAGTCTATTTCTTTCACTGGGTAAGGGAAGTTTTCTGTCATTATTTCTTTAAATAGGTTTGAAACATCTTGCTCTCTCTCTTCTTCTGGCACCCCCATAATACAAATGTTGATATACTTGAAGTTGTCCCAGAGGCTCCTTACATGATCTTCATAGTTTGGATTATTTCTTTTTTGCTCTTCTGGTTGTTTTTTGCTTCCTCATATTTCAAATCATTGATTTGATTCTCAGAATCCTCTACTGTTGAATACCTATATATTATTATTATTTTTTAAAAAATATATATTTTATTGATTTTTTACAGAGACGAAGGGAGAGAGATAGAGAGTTAGAAACATCGATGAGAGAGAAACATTGATCAGCTGCCTCCTGCACACCTCCCCCTAGGGACGTGCCCACAACCAAGGTACATGCCCCTGACCGGAATCGAACCTGGGACCCTTCAGTCCACAGGCCGACACTCTATCCACTGAGCCAAACCAGTCAGAGCTGTATATTATTTTTTATTTCAGTCAGTGCATGCTTAATTTCTGACTGGTCTTTTTCCATGTGTTTGGCATTCTCACTAAGATCCTTGAAAGTCTCACTAAGTTCCTTGGAGGTTTCTAGAAGACTCTTGAGTAACCTTATAACTGTTGTTTGAACTCTATATCCAATAGTTTGCTTTCTTCCATTTCTTTCATTTGTGACATGTTTCTTTGTCTCTGCATTTTGGCTGCTTCCCTGTGTTTGTATGTATTGGGTAGAGCTGCTATGTCTCCTTAAGTTGGTAGAGTGGCCTTGTATAGTAGGTGTTCTATAGGGCCCAGTGGCTCAGCCTCCCCAGTCACTTGAGCTGGGTTCTATATTTTAGTTGTAATTTTGATGTGGTTTTGGGAGGTGGCGAGTACAGGCATTTACCTATGCCACCATCTTGGTTCCTATTTCCATTAATTCTTAGTGTGACGTTTCTCAAAATTCTGAAGCCCCCAGTGTTTTAGACATAGGATTAAAAATTAAATTCACTCCAGATCCCACTCTTCTTAATACTGTGGGGCCCTCTTCAGTTGGAGCTATGAAATATTCAACTTTGGATGCATATTTAAGAACCAATCATTCAGTTTATCAGCCAGCTACAGTGACCAAGTAGCTAGCCTTGCCCTGTCTTTCAACTACTAGATGTTTGACAATGAAGAATTAAATATTAAGCTACTAAACTTCTTGGTTAAAACTATTTCCACTTACCCAGAATTTGGGGAGAATGAAAATGTTTGTTACTGCCCGAATCACCTCAAACAAATATAAACCTTTCCAGTCATTCGTAAGTCAAAAGTATTTAAAGACCTATGTTGTATGATAATAAAAAATAGATAATTCCAAAATTATCTTAGCACAATTAATTTCCAGATTTATAGAGATTTTGTTAGATAGGACAAGGATCTAGGTCTGGGCAGTTCTAAATGTTATTTCTTGCTAAATGTTAAAGTATAGCCCAGTATTTTGCAGATGCAGCAGTAAACAGGATGAGCTAACAAGGAACTCAATGGGATGAAAGTAGCCAACTGCAAAGAGGATGTCAACATACTAGAGGCCCAGTGCATGAAATCTGTGCACAGTGGGAGGGGGTGTCCCTCAGCCCGGCCTGCACACTCTCACAATCCAGGACCCCTCGAGGAATGTCCGGCAGTCAGACATCCCTCTCGCAATCTGGAACCCCTCGTGGGATGTCCGACTGCCAGTTTAGGCCTGAAACCAGCAGTCAGACATCCCTCTTGCAATCCGGGATGCTACATGCACCAGTGACCATACTTTTCATACAGGTGAAAGGCATCTTGCTGTTGTATGGGCAGCTACAGTTTTTGGCCCTGATTATAAAAAGTAGTACATAACATGATCCTTCTGAGGCAGTAGTACCATTTTCCCCATCTTATGGGTGGAAAAACTGAAGCAGAGAGAAGTTAAGTAATTGGCTTTGTCACACAGTTATAAGTGTCAGAATCAGGGCTGACCACAAAATGTGCAAGCCAGAGTCCATGCATGTCATCGCTGTATCATCCTGTTTTTTCAGTGTTAGAGTAGTCTTGCCAGGTTTTAATTTTTAAATCTAAGAGACTGTTCCCAATATATAGGAGTGCATGTTCATCCCCATGTAGAATAAACAGGATGTGGACAGTTTGGAGATTCTTCTGATGAATTAGCATTAAGCAGCCACAGATCTTTTTCAAATACTGCAGAAGCCACCTTCCTTGTTTAGCTGTGTGTGGGATGTAGCAGTTTATAAGCTATGACACAGTCACTCGCAATCCGGGACCCCTGGGAGATGTAGCAGTGCGCCAAGTGACAAGCAGCCAGGGAGGAGCCTAAACTGGGGCCGGGCACTGTGCCGCTCACACTTATCCTGGCCCGCTGTGCCTGCTGCCACTGCTTGGTAGTGCTGCTGTGGAGGCGGGAGAGGTTCCCTCCGCCGCAGCTGCACTTGCCAGCCATGAACCTGGCTTCTGGCTGACCAGTGCTCCCCCTGTGGGAGCACACTGACCACCAAGGGTCAGCTCCTGCATTGAGCGTTTGCCCCCTGATGGTCAGTGTGCAAAATAGCGACTGGTTGACTGGTCGTTCTGGTTGTTCCATTGTAATGGTTGCTTAGTCTTTTATATATATAGATAATTGACCAAATAGTGCATATAATTAATGGCTAAGCTTCCCTTAGCAAGGCAGGACTTTGGATATGAATCTCCTGTCTCTCCTTTATTTGCTGCAAGTAAATAAAACTACCTTGTGACAACCACATCTCACTGTTTAATGGAGTACCCCAAGCAGTGATATATGATTTCTTTATATCATTGTCTTGTGAATTGTGCATAAAAGGGTTTTTTAATATGTGGCATTGAAATGTGAAGTCATTCCTTAATACTAAATTTACAAGTTCCCTTAAAAAAAGTATTGTTTACTTAAAGATTCAAAGTCATACTCCAATGAGTTGTGTATATTTTATGGCCTTTGCTACAGTTCCCCTGAGTATTTAAATGACCATCTGGACCCTAAATGCAGCTGGGTGACCTCCTACTAGCCTCACAGCCATCAAAAGGAAACTTCTTTCTGGGTGAAGGAGGCTGGACTGTGATTGCATGCAGTTGGTTGTGCTGAGCCCCCCAGGCTACAGCAGAATAACTCAGGAAGACACACTCAGCATTTTAATCATACTTTTTTAGCTGGGATGGGGGAGGAAGAAGAATCAACTTCCTGCTTGCTTTAAAGTGTGAGAACAGAAGATTCAACCACATGAACTTGCAGCTCTGCCTCTCTCAGTGGCCTTCCTGTCCTCTTTCAAGTCAGGTACTGAGCCCTGGGCCTTCCAAGTAGATCTGGGAACTTGCTTGGACACCTTACTTCATTGCTTGAACCACACTTGTAGACTTTTACCCACCCTTCTTCAAGTTGCTCTTGTTTTTGTATCTGAAAGTACTCATCTGCCCCTGCCCATTCGCTTGTGCCAGGTACAGCATCCTGGGTTTACCACCAAAAGAGACTTCACAGATGCTAAAAGTTGGTGTTGCGACTTGGCACTTGGGCTGAGGGGTCTGAGATTTCCGGGTATTCAGCAGGTCCTGTTATCACTGGTGAATTACTTTCCAGCCCATTGTAACAGCCTTCCTCCTGGACCCATTCCAGAACAAATGGCCTGAGGACGTTGTTAGCCTCCTTTTCAATGGCAAAGTGTCCTTGTAGGGTCTTCTCCCAGCATCTGACCCTGGAGCCACCCTCTGTAGATGATGTTACCATCTAAGTTTATCTGTTAAGCTTTCTTAACCTTCCTGTTTGCACCTCCAATCAGTGAAATGCAGTGCCAAGGAAACCGGAAATGACTGACAATGTTTACAACAATAGAACCATTAAGTTATGACTTTTTTAAAGGGAGCTGCTTAGGCACGATGGCAAAATAATACTTGAAATACCAGAAATATCAAAGTGCAAGCATCCATCCATTGTGAATCTAAAGCAAACTGTAATAGGAAACAGTTTGCTAATCTAACTGCAACCCCCCTCCCCCGCCACGAAATAGCCTAGAAATGCACTATAAACAGTATAAATGTGATAAATCATTTTCAGACTTTCAATCTGAAAAGTTAAGTGGCAGGGGGTGCTGTCATACTTGGGCTAGTCAATATTAGTTTCAGTTGTATTTAATACTTGAAACAACTCTTGCTTCTGATGAAAACAGGCAGGGATGGAGTAAAACACACACACACACACACACACACACACACACACACACACAAACTCTTGCCTGGGGACTTCAGGGAGAAATTAGGGGAGAGGTCATTGGCCTGGACCTGAGCAACCCATGTAAAGAGCTAAACTGCCCTTCTACCCTTCTCTCTGTCCATGGTGGGAGGAAAAGACCCACTTTTCTGCTCCGGAAATCAGAGTAAAACCTCAATCCATGTGAGTCATTAGTCAAGCCCCAGGGTCAGCCAGTGCAATGATTAAATGGCCATTATAGTCCCCCAATAGAATTAAACAATAATGTTTCCAATTTTATCATACCCCAACCCCAACTAAAAATTTCCCAAGTTCTTGAGTTCACTTGAGAACGAAATGAATGGGCTCTTAACCAGTATTAATAAAATTTGAAAACAGCTGAGTTTGCCTAGTTGACTTTTGTTTTTTCCTTTCCTTGAACTGCTCCGAGATACAATTTTAATTGGCAGACATAATTGCTTTTGTGAATAAGGTCATTCCCAAGTCAAATAAAGGAACTGAGTCAGCATTGAAAACATATATTTGACCACTCACCTACAGATGTTTGTCATCCGCCAAGTGGAGATGGCAGGGGTTAGTAAGGGCATGGGGCTGGGAAGTGACCAGAGCTTGTAGCTGCCACTCAGGCGACCCTTTGGCCTCCACTGGAGCCATCAGCCAATGGCGTGGCTGAAGGGGTGCTGGGCCCTGGGGCTGCCCTCATCAGTTTTAGAGCTCACAGGTTAGGATGGCTGGTCTGTGTCAGCCAAAGTCCAGCCCGTCACTTCCGGGAGCTCTCCCTGCAGAGCGAGGCGCCGTGTCTGTTCCTGCCTTTCCTAGCCCTGTCCACAAGCTGGTGGGGATAAAGTGGCCCCATGGCTGAGAGGAGGTTTATGTTGGCACAGGACACTAGAGCGTGTAAACCAGTCCTCCCCCGGGGCCCGTACGATTGCCAGAGATGGCCATACTTAGGAGCAGGACATGGATTTTTCCTGAGGTGAAAAGCATTTCTCTTCCCTTTTGACTGTTGAGAAACAAAAATAAAATTAATTTAAAAAGCATTCAATCATGCTAAGAGTTTTGTTGTTCTTTGGGGGCGTGTTTATTTTCAGCCAACCATCTCTTTTGTTGCAAAATAGCCCCCTTTGCTATCCTTAGGCAACAACATGTAACTTTTTATGGTTTGTAGAACATGAAAAATGTCTTGTTTTCCTTTATTACATCTGTGTTGGTGATATTCTTTATTAGAGCAAGAGATAGCATCTGCTTTTATTGCTTCCAAAATCTGTCTATTTAACATATGCCAAACTCCACGCTGTTTGAAAGGAAGTCCTATTTTTAAAACATTATCTTCATCTTAGTATTTCTGGCTTACTGTTCCCATAATCTCTCCAAGGCAGGAATGCATCCTTTTTGGTAATGTCTGGTCTTAGTCATTGGGAAAGTGACTTCTAACTCTGGGACATTTTTCCTTAATGTTCCCCTTATCTGTGTGTATGTAAGGACTGCTTTAGTTAGCCTCCCAGGTCACTCTGGGGGCTGCTCATAACTCTCTTCAGTTCATCATCTTTATAAAAGAACTCAGTTTCACGCCCCTACTGGCTCCCATACCTTATGAATGTCTCTGTAATGTTCTGTGTCAGACCTTCAGTTAGGCTGCTTTCTCTGCTTCCAAGCTGCTGGTTACCACGTCCAAATGACCTTTTTTAAAAATATGTTTTTATTTATTTCAGAGAGAGGAAGGAAGAGGGAGAGAGAGATAGAAACATCAATGATGAGAGAGAATCATTGATCAGCTGCCTCCTGCACACCCCCTACTGGGGATCGAGCCCCCAACCCAGGCATGTGCCCTGATTGGGAATCAAACTGTGATCTCCTGGTTCATAGGTTGACACTCAACCATTGAGCCACCCCGGCCAGGCCCAAAAGATCTTAATCACACACTATTAATTAATCTCTCCAAACCATCCCTCTGGGCATCTGGGTTTCGCCCAGATGTGAGGCTTCTTGATGGCATAGCCCAAAGACTGCCCTGGGCCCTCACAACTCTCCCTGTGCCCCTGGGGCTGCCTACTGGGGCCTGTGACAGGAGTGTTAACAGAAAGGGCTTCCATGCCATGAGTAAAAACCTGTCTCCCTTGGTGATTATTTTTGGCACGTGACTCTTCACGGGAGGAGAATCTGCTTACTCCAAACAAACATGGTCAGGATGAAGTCAGATCTGGTGGTTGTTTTTCACATCCTCTTAATCTTCTGATTTAAAATACTTGTATTCACTGTCATTCCTGGCCGGGTGGCTCAGTTGGTTGGAGTGTTATCTCATGCACCAAAAGGTTGTGGGTTCGATTCCCGGTCAGGGCACATGCCTAGGTTGCAGGTTCCATCCCTGGTTAGGGTATGTATGGGAGGCGGCTGGTCAATGTTTGTTTCTCTCTCTCTCTCTCTCTCTCTCTCTCTCTCTCTCTCTCTCTCCCTCTCTCTCTAAAATTATATCCTCGGATGATGATATATATATTCAGGGTGTCCCAAAAATGTATACACACTTTGAATAATTATTCATTCTAATGGGTCAAATTTGAAAAGAAAGAAACATCAATTGAGCTATCAGCTAAACACTGTGCATACATTTTCTGGGACACCCTATATATATTCACTATCAGCCGATGTTCCAATTTCTTCCCAGGATCCAGCATGATGGTCTTTAATGTGAGCAAGACCAGCTGCAGAAATGTCAAACCGGGCTGCTGGCTTGGTGCCTGAGGGCCATGGGGGGCAGGGAGCAAAACTGAAGGGCTCCAATTCTCACGAACATATCACTGAGCGCTGCAACTTTTCTCCAATTGAAGCTACTTCCTATTCAGCTCCCTAACAGTTCACTTCCCTGTGTTCTTGAACTTGGGCCAAGGTTGTTTCTCAGTCTCTACGGTTCTTCCTCTATGCTGCATCTAAGTAGAAATTTTTCTTTCAGTAGAGCAAGTTCCTTCAGTTCCATTATGAAGCAAGAGGTAGAGGGAATCAGAAGCCCTCACAGAGAGGGAGGTTCATTTATTAGTCATCTTGTGCGACTAGAACATCAGACACAAAAAAGCAAGGCCAGTTTAGCTTTTAGTTTCATTCTTTTCTGTGTTGCTCATGCTGAGCCTGAGAAAAGGTGTACTGAGGGATTTTAAGCCAGCTGCTTATAAACGTGTGTTTTTTTCAGAGCATCATTGCCAACTATTTATATTACATTTGTATACATGAGAAGAAAATCCCTGCCCAGACCAAAAAACAACACCTCTTTGAAAACTCTCTGAGTCCTGCCCTCGGCAACTGCAAATTCACACTTTTGCACTCCCCCAGACTACAAGGACAGCTCTCGGGAGCATAGAGAAAATGTGTAAAGACGCCCGACTGGCATGGCTCAGTGGTTGAGCATCAACCTATGAACCAGGAGGTCACATTCGATTCCCAGTCAGGGCACATGCCCGAGTTGTGGGCTCGATCATGAGTGTGGGGCGTGCAGAAGGCAGCTGATCAATGGTTCGCTCTCATCATTGATGTTTCTATCTCTCTTTCCCTCTCCCTTCCTCTCTGAAATAAAAATATATATTTTAAAATAAAAATTGTTTACACCTTACTGTAGCCCTGCCACTCAGGTACCTACCTATGGATACACACACACACATACACACACACACATACACACGTACACACACATGCACTATCCTTCCTAACTTCCATCCCTCACACAGCACCCACAATGCCTTACAATTGGAAACTTAAACTAACTTTCTTGAATGAGAAATCTGTGTAGGAACAATGTTTAACAAATGCCTTTTCATCGGCAGTCTGTGTTGAAGCACGAGGTTCTCCTTGCAGTAATATTTATACATGCGCCATTTGGAGCATAATAACCTGATTAAAATGGAATGACTTTCATAATGTTGTTAGGGACTTGGGGGTGGTTGGTCATTGCTTTTTCTGTTTGGATGATTTCCTTAGAAAAAAAAGCTTTCTGACTCTTGGGAATTAAGGTACAGTGCACTTATCTCCTTTCAAGGTGTCTTAAATGACTATGGGAATGAAAGCCTGGGTCCTACCAAGGGTAGAGGTGAAAGGAAGCCATGCTGAAAAGGATAGGATAGCACATCAGTCTGCTGGTAACTGTAGTCATGAATAATTTAAAACATTTTCCCCTTTCCATATTAATACCCTACATCTGCTTGGAATTTCACAATTCCAAGTTCTTTCACATAAACTAGAGGCCTGATGCACAAAATTCGTGTACTGGGTGGGTGTCCCTCAGCCCAGCCTGCCCCTTCTCACAGTCTGGGAGCCCTCAGGGGATGTCCTACTGATGGCTTAGGACTGCTCCCAATGGGGAGCGGGCCTAAGCCACAGTCTGGCCCCAGCGGCTCAGAGCATGCCCCCCTGGGCAGGTCCGCAGGTCCGCTGGGGGCCTTGGTCCCAGCTGCGGCACAGCTGGGAGCACACCCTCCTGGGCGGGTCTACTGGGGGCCTTGGTCCCAGCCACACTGCGACTTGCAGCATGCCCCCCTGGGTGGGTCTGTGGGTCCTCAGGGGGCCTTGCTCCCAGGGCAGGTGGCGTGGCGTTCCTGCCCACGAGCCCCTGGCGGGAGTGGCCTTGAAGCTGGGCGGCACTGCACTCCTGCCAGGGGACTTGCTCCCAGGGCAGGAAGGCTCCCAGGGCAGGCTGTGTGGTGTGCCTGCCCTCGAACCCCCGGCGGGAGTGGCCTCGGAGCTGGGCAGTGCCGGGGCTGGGGGTGGGCTCTGAGCCGTGCCACGGCTGCTCGGAGCCCGCCCCCAGCCCTGGTGTGTGGTGTGTGTCCACTGGGGCTGGGGGCACGTGCTCTGAGCTGGTGGTGACGCAGCCTCCTGAGTTGGTCGTGATGTCCTGGCCTAATTTGCATATTTCTCTCTTATTATATAGGATTACTGTGGCAGACAGTTTGCTGCTCATTAACAGCCCCCATCCTGATCTTGTTCCTGTGGCAACAACCTAGCCTGGGGGATGAATCATGACTGGTCTAAGTCAGTGGTCCTCAGCTTCTCTCTACAGTACGGTCAGTCACCTGGGGAACTTTTAAAAACATCCCAATGCCAGACCAATTACATCAATATCTCTAGGGCTGGAACTCAGGTATTGACATTAGAAACAAGAGCTCCTCCAGTGAATGTAATATGTCCAAACATGATGATGCTAGTCACTTTCACCGATTTTTGGACCAGTCAATTCTAGCCGGTGAGACGTAAAAGGAAGTTGGCTGGGGGCAGGGGATTCTGAGAAAGGTTTCCATAACCAGATTGAAGGAAAGAGAGACAGATAAGGAAAAACTCTTCCACTGCTTACTTGCTGATCAGTTTCCTCCCTCTCTGCATTTTAAAAACCCCAAGTAGTTGTGTGAGGAAGTGATGCTTGTTGCTGAGGCTACCAACTTGTGACAGTGGGAAGACAAGCTGGTGCATGAAATCCAAAAAGATGCAAAAGGTGGAAAGGGCCTGGGTCCTTGGTAACTTGATTCAGGGTGCTGAGGTCCCCATCCAGCCCTGAAAAAATTGCACCGACTCCTTCCCTGACAAATCCTGGTTGTCAGGTCTGGACCATCCAGGAGTTACTCAGGTCAATTAGTGTGTAGACCTTCTTCACTGATGAGCTGAGGGCATGGTCAGATGCCCCATGAGAAGGGCAGCCATGGGGAGGCTGGCTGAAGAGTTACCAGCTATCCTGTGTAGGTTGTTGGCAGCTCCAGGATATTTTATTGATTCGTTCAGTAGTTGAAACATCCTATATAATAAAAGCATAGTATGCAAACTGTCCCCTCGACTGGGAGTTCATTGGGGAGTTTGATGGGGGGGGGGGGGGGCTGGCCGGGGGAAGGGAGGGAGTACCTGGCTGGCAGCCAGCAGCCGCTAGGGACCCTACCAGTGCATGAATTTCATGCACTGGGCCT